GGGGGGTCAAGATGAGGAGGGGTCACATTGAGCATACCCACCTTCTTCGACTCTTCAGATAGAAACATAGTCTTCCGCTCTGTTCCCATCATTATCCGGTCTTTTGCGAACTCCATCTGTGAAGCAGTTAACTTCTCAGCACCTTCAACAGCAGCCTTAATAGCAGCTATATTCACAAGGTTTGCAAGATCTGTTTGGGAAGGAAGTTTTTCAATAAGCTAACTGAGAGAAGAAGAAAATAAAGAATTTAATAAAACCACATATATATAACCTGCCCCATTGAAGCCTGGTGTTCCACGAGCAATAGCATTCGCATCAACATCAACATCAACGGGTTTGTTCTTTAAATAGAGTTCTAGTATTTCTTGACGACCTCGAACATCTGGATTTGGAACAACAATCTGAAGAAGACAAAAAAAACATGTGAATTGATACTAATCTCTAGGAAAGATATCACACAGTTGAAGATACTTTCTCAATATTATAGCAGAAATTAAATGTAATGCACATGACATACTAGTGTAAAGATAATACTCGCTGCATCCCAAACTATCTGACATTTTAGAATATTTCACAGAAATTAAGGATCGACATAAAAACACTTTTCCTGGTTGATCTTTCATCTTTCTGTGTATATAAAATTATAAAGATATAATATTTAAAAATTATACTTTAAGATGAATCCAATGATACCAAGTTTGCATTATAATTCAATATATTTTTTCTTAACTTTATGATCAAAATTTACCCATTTTGATCACAAAAAGTCAAATGTCAACTTTTGTCTCAAAGAGTGTGCCTGTTTTACTGTTTATATGTAGATATGGAATATTAATGCACTTTGTAATCCAACAAATGTAATTTATGTTCTCGTTTGTAAAACACATCTTGCAATTTAATAGCATTTAAGTTAAAAAAGAATAAATCGGTGGCAATTGGGGACGGAAAATTCAAAAGCTGAACTAAAATAATAAATATTTGAAAAAGTTAATGTCAGTACTCCTAGATATTTGCAATTCTATGAGAATACTCCTAGAATAAAAAATGTGCATTAGTGCTCCAAGATATTAATGTAATTTAAAAAAAATACTCGGCGATGCTCTGCTTATAAAATTTTCCAGGCATTTTAACTTGGCCAATTCAATTTATAAAATAATCTCAACTTTCATTAAGCTCATCGCACATTTTGCCTGATTTTCTTTATCCTTGCTTGCATCCTGAATAGAATTAGCATGCAATTCTTCTTGCCCATTAGAAACAATTAGCCTCAATGGAACAAAAATGTCAACTTGAATGTTAACACTTCATATTTTTTTTACTATTTGATTACAGCGCATGAAATACCTCAGCAAGTTTTAAAATGTTTTTAAAGAAAATATACTTCAGAAAATTACATTAGGTTATTGGACAATACTGCACGGTTTTTTGTGTGAAATCTCAAATTTTTAGGAGTACCCGCATTAATTTTTCGTATTTATTTTGGAACATATTTGTATTATTTAAGGCTAACACAAAAACTAATTTGGGAAAGAGAGAAGTAAAAAATAAGGTGAGACTTACATGTTTGTCAAATCTACCCGGCCTGGTTAAAGCCGGGTCAAGTATATCTGGCAAGTTCGTTGCAGCCATCAAGATGATACCCTACAAAAAAAGTTGTTGGAAGGCACTTTGAATTACAGATTCAGAAGAAAACATCAATTTATGCATAAGATGTATTCATGAACCTAACCTCATTCTGCTCAAAACCATCCATTTCAACTAGTAATTGATGCAGTGTTTTCTTGGTGTGACCCTCCCATTGCTTCCGAGTTGACCCGATGGCATCAATTTCATCAATGAAAATTATGCAAGGAGCCTGAAGAGCCCAACATGAATGTGAGAAAAAGTAATGGCATTTCAAACATACTCCCTCCCTCTTTAGATCAACTTGACACTTTGACTTCACAAAGTTTAAGAAAAGTGTTGAGAGCAAAAGGTGTTACGTGAAAAGTGTACGGTTGAAATTTATTTGGAAGAGAGAAATAAAGAGTTTCACATATTTATTTTTTAAAAGGTAAAGTGGAGTAGTGGAGGTGTAAAGTTAATTTTTAGACATCCAAAAATGGAAAGTGTAAAGTTGATTTGGAGACAGAGGGAGTATTAGAAAAATTTTCAGATCATTAACCACAGAGACTCCAAATACATATACATTAGGGGGGTTATTTTAAAGATGCAATAGTGCTGAGACTCCAAATACATATACATTAGGGGGGTTATTTTAAAGATGCAATAGTGCTATGTTTTGAATTAGAGAAACGGTACGGAACTGTAAAACAATGCTACAGAAAAAAACTTAAAAAAATGTTTGGCTTTGACTTAAAAGTTGCTACAAGAATTGCTCAAGCCTTTTTTAAAGCTCCAAGCGGATTCTAAATAGATGCAGCTGTTGAAAGTGAGCAAAAACCTTCTTCTTAGCTGCTTGAAATAACGATCTAACACGACGTGCACCAACTCCCACAAACCTGCAATAGAGAAAAGTCATGTTATTGGGTGATGCTATTATGCTAATGAAGTAAAAGCTGCATATTTTCTTTAAATTCCAAAGAGAAGTTAGCTAACATCTCTTCAAACTCAGAGCCCGCTTTATAGAAGAAAGGAACCCCTGCTTCTCCAGCAATTGCCTGCAGACCAAGACGCATTGAAGCTTACTCAGCAGGTGTATACAATTAGTTACAAGTACATCTAAATTCACGAAGGATAGTTGACTTCCGCAATGAATGTTTTGAACATAAAGGTAATCAATCGAGTGATTCGAGTCATAAATAATTCCCAAGTATCATAGAAGCCTTACTTTTGCCAGTAAAGTTTTTCCGGTTCCAGGTGATCCAGTCAAAAGAATGCCCTGAAAAGAAAAAGAAAATGTATACAGACAAGAGGGACTTGGTTTATTTAACAATTCTCTTCTGGAGTGCAAGTTCCTAGGCTGCTAACAATAATCTTTTTCCGACTTGATATGTGCAATATGAAATATGACTGAAATGCAAAAGGAAAAAATAAAAGTTGAAAAGTAAAACCTTGGGCAATTTCCCCCCAAGCCTTGTGAACTTAGTGGGATTTTTAAGGTATTCGACAACCTCCTCGAGCTCCTTTTTGGCATCATCACAGCCTTTGACATCTTTGAATGTTTTGACATTCTGCAACAAGAAAAAAAAGAATATCATGATTAGGATCAACTCTTCTAGTCATCAAAATCAATCAACACATAACCAGGAGAAAGAATATACCTTTTCAGGCTTGATTTCCTTATTTGACTCTTTAGGGGAAAAAGATGAACTTGAGCCAGCACCTGAAGCACCTACACCGCCAATGCTACCAATATATTTTTGAGCTGCACTAGCCGTATACCTATGAATAAGAAAGGATGATGCATATCACAATAACTTTAAGTAGAATCCCTTGCATCTATTACAATAGCATGCAGTAAAGAATGAGCTTTGAAGAGAATGGTTACCATAACAAAGCAACAGCAAGTGCAAACACGGCAGTGGAGAGAAGCTCATTAATAAAACGTGGTGATTTTTTTGACTCCTTAGGATCAACCTGATCACAAAAAACTCTATATGAGCTACACAAACATATGAATGCACCGACATTTGTTCAACTATATACCCGTTCTTTACTAGTTGCAATATGTTGATTTTTGCACTATTCACATGCAGTACTTTGACCGTATTTTTTCAAGATACCGTAACAACTTTGGATAATGTTTGCTAACATCTAATTAACTGCATTAATGGTCAAAGTAGTGCACCGGAAAATGTGAAAGTCAAAGTTGCTCTAAAGATTGATATTGATTAATGCATTCTGATCTTCCTCGGATTTAAAGAAACATAATTTTACTCATGAGTCATGACACATCTCAATATATCTTACCACAACAACATGTAATGGCTGCCTCTGAGAAACCCCAGGGTTCAAGATTGGATCATCCAAATTCCCTAAGGCACGTTGTTTCAATTCTTGTAACTGCATGCCGAAGCGTTAATTTATCATTAATAACAGAAGAGCATGAATGTTCTGGACAGTTCCGGAGTCTACAAAAATAACACTTTAACAAGTACCCACCAAAGAAGGAAGAGTAGAAGGCTTTCCAGAATCCTCATCAGGTAGAAACTCAGCAATAGCATTAGTGGCCACAAGAGCTCGGAGATATTCTGCAACTCCTCTACTGTCTACCGCATAAGCCCTATCTTCAAATCGCTTGATGACTAACTCCGGGCTGTTGAAAGATAGCGAAGCATTAAAATGCTTCTCTTTTGAAACAAGCAATCAATTTGTGTAAAGAAGAAGATAACACATTTTTCAAGACAAAAAAAAACACATGCACTACATGAAAGCAAATTTCACAGCACACCAACAGCAAAAGTTCTTTAAAAAAAGGGTATTGACACAAATTGGATTAAGAAAGACTATGCATTGGATATAGTATCAAAGAAGAGCTTGAAGGTCTAACCTGTCCTTATTCAGCTCAGCCAACAATGCACTCTGCTTATTCGCATCATTGGGGTTAGCATCAGCATCTGCTATCAACAACTGCATTCTCTTTTCATGCTTCCACATTAGCACCCAATCGAAAAGCTCGGTCGGTAAAATCCACAGCAACCCTTTCTTAATCCCAGCAACCAATCCCAATAAGAACACCACAACCGGAAGCCTCTTCGCTTTCTCAACTAAACCATCTGGTTTTACCTCTTCTTGCACTTCCATGGAGCCAATACTCCCCACCTCCGCCCCACTCTGGTCAATTTTGTCCAAAATTCTACCGTCCCCTCCATCTCGGATTCTCAACTCAGTAACTTCTGGCTCTTCTCGGGAAGAATTCACACTGTGGGGACGCACAGTGCAGTTGAGGGTCAATCTGAGCTGGCGGGAAAACCGATGCTGCTTCACGGAAACAGCTCCAAGGCGGCTCCGAGAGGGCGAAGGGAAAGAGGACGAGAAAGAGAGCGGGTTGAGTAAAAGCGAGGTTTGCAGAGCAGTCGCGGTCATTGGGTCTCAATGGGAGGGGCCAAATTCCGGATTCGATTAGATTGAGACCGACGGGATGGAGGGCTCCAGAGAAAGATTGAATCTTTGTTCAAAGAAATGAAAAGGAAAGATTCTTTGGCGTTGGTTTTGATTGATGAAGAGACAATACAGAGGGGAAGAATCAGATTTCTTTCTTCGGCCGCGCGCTTCCTGCTGCTCGAGGGAGACGAAGGAAGCGTGTGTGGGTGAGTGTTGGCCACAGCTCGCGAACGAGATTTGGGGTTTTGATTGATAATTCTTTGATGGAGGGAGACACAAACAATGGAACCTTATCTTAAGCAGCAAGGGAGAAATCTACTCCATAGAGACCATAGCATTCATTTCGCGCTTTCCTTGTAGGATATGACTGTCTATGGGGGGTGGGGGTGGCACATAATATATGAGTTCAGTTTTGATGAAGCATTTGAAAATGCAATTATATGATTCTACACACCCAAAAGAAAAACTTTTTTTAAGATGGAAATTAACAGTGATATTTGGTGGGACAACTTATAGAGAACTAAGAAATGTAATAGAAAAATGAGGCAAAAAAGAAATGAGAGGAAGACCAATCAACGACTAAAATAAGATGCATATGTAAATCGTGTACTTTGATGAAGGCAAAAATAACATTATGACAATATGAAAGAAACTCCACATCGCAGTCATCTCCGACCTTTAACCAGATATGTAGTTCGAGGTAATGTGACAAAATCTACTCCCACACTGCTGAGTTTCTTGTTTTCTAGAAAGCCTGCGCCGATCACGTCAACATCCTTAAGTCACACAAAGAATCTACGGATGAGCAAGATTGAAACTAGTCTACAAATATAATGACATTGTTTCCGCAGACCTTCTACCTTCCCGACGAGCCTCAACACAATATCTGCAAGAGGGCACTATAAAAAAAATGCGATTAACCATCTCCTCGCTCCCCCGTAGGGCACCAACCATCTACCAAAGCCCCATCCGCCGCAAGAACCAGAATGGTGCTTACTATGTACTCCGTAGAATGCTTCAAATCGATCTCCACACAAGAATATTTACCTTCGAGGTCACCGGAATTTGCCAATTTTGTCAATTTCAAATGAATTGAATGGGTTTAGCCAAATAAAGTGTGAATTTAGTACGTATCATCTAACAAATACTCCGTAAATGATAAAAACAAGTAAACAACTTTTAAGCATGAAAAAGTAGTTCAAGAATACTAAGTTGTTGCTCCATACATTTCATAAACTATAGTCTTGTTCTCACTTCTCAATATATTCCTGTCCAAAAAAACAATACAACTTGAAAAATATCAATTTTCACTAAAGAGACTGGAGAGGTTTGTCTTAGAAAAAAGGAAAATATGATATCAATAATCCCATGTTTAGACAGTCTTTTGAAAATGATACAAATGAAACTTGTCCATTTTCTTAAACTCGCCACAATATAAAAAGCTTGGAAATTCATTATCTCATGCACAAATTAGTGTGTAGACTGTGTACAAACATGACATTTTGAGCCTTTATGACAAGAAGACATCATAATTAAGGCCACAAACACAAATAAGTTCAAACATAAGGGAAAAAATGACCTACGAGCGTTTAAGAGCAGAGGTTTCTCCTATTCCTCTTAGACAAGCGCTATCTTGGCTGGTCTGGTGGAGGCATGGCGGCTGTGTGTGGCGGCCCACTTAGGTTGTACATTTGATGAGCATTACTTGCATGGGGCATGGGGTACGGAGGAGGATTAGGCATCTGCATGGACATATGCGTTGGTGGCGGATGTCCTCCTACAACATTGGAGGAGTTCCAAGACACCGAAGGCTGCTGAGGTGGCAGTGGTGGCGTATGACCATCAAAGAATTGGGGGGCATATTGACCTCCGAACTGCTGTGGCTGTTGCCCTAGAATTGAGGGTTGAGCATTCAGCAGCAAAGGCGCATTCGGAATTGTATAATCTCTGCCTCTGTCATTGTTTATCTGAAATCAAATGTTCGTTCATCATTATGAGTTATGAAAATCAGCAAATTACACTACTTCCTATTCCTCAATGGCAACTAGAAAAACAGTGTCAGATAAATCAGAAAAAATTGTATGTTGATTTTTAGGGAGAAAAAAATAGCATGTTAATTTTTAATAAAAACATGAATTGGTGTACTATTGTGGTCCTTAGGTCCACATACAAAATAAAGACCTTTCACATATTTTCAATGGGCTTATAATTGGATCTCTTTAATTTCACAAGGCCCATCATATAAAGAATTTTGTGTTTGAAGGTCCATGAATTGAGCATGGACCTAAGGACCACAAAAGAATTTGTCATCCTATATTCAGCCAGATAAATTCTCTTGCCAAAGGGGGTTTTCTGGATTATTGTCCTGATTCAAAAGTACCTTTATACTAAGATCAGTGTGCCGAGAGTAAGTAATATGCAGTTTGCAATAACCTCCTTCATATATGCTATGTCCTTCCAAGGCCTCCTTTGCAGCAACAGCTGTCTGCACATCTGCAATACCATGCTTTTATGATTATCTTGCCTTGAAAACAATCAATAGCCTTTAATATGTATTTAAGCTACACTTTAAAACCAATCCCCATAAAGTAATGCAAGTGACAATTGTTTTATCCAAAAATAAAGGAACCTGCAAAAAAAAAGGATTCATACTAAAAATTCAGAAAGCCATCTATTCAGTTAATTTCACTATTTATGATCAGAAAAAATACTCCCTCCGTCCCTCAATTTATGTCCACTTTCCATTTTGCACCAAAACCAATGCAAAGGGTAAAATGTCACAAATGCCCTTTGTTTTGGGTCTTCTTGTCCACCAGCCCTTCTGCCACGATTAGTTGATGCACAATCCATAGCAATGGCCATCGTCATGTCTCCCACAGTCTGACTGTAGAGGCATGGCCCCCCTCCCACCCCCACCCCCGTCAGAATACCCATTCCAAACTCCAACTATTTACTGCTGAGCTATTGCGGCCCATGAAACCTAGTTCCAATTTTGAATTCCCAATATGGCCTGTGTCTAGCCTCCTCTTTTGACTCGGTTGTTGTCGCATAATCCATCGCAACTCCTATCCGTCCACCTCCGCGTAGTCCATTGCTGCACAACCCATCCGATCCAATCGCTGCCAAGATATTGTTACAAGGAGATCCGAGAAATTTGCAGAAGCAGGTGACTACATATGCATAAGTAGGTGAAGAAGAAGACAGTGGCGTAGCTCAAAAGAAGGATTGGATTGAGGCAAGATTGATTAAATCTAGGAGATGATATAAATGGATGGATGACTGGATGTAAATAAATCAATAAATATATGGATAAGAAAGAAGATAAGGCGTAAATGAGTGTTGGTGGAGAAGGGCAAAATTGACATTCTATTTAAAAAAATTTTACTAGAAAGGGAAAGTGGGCAAATATTGTGGGACGACCCAAAAAGGAATACTGGACAAATAGTCAGGGACGGATGGAGCATTAATTTTGTGATAAGAAATGTGTCACTTGTATAGGACTCCAAATGTATATAGTTTTGACAACCAACACCGACTCACTCAATACAAAAATACACATGAAACATCAAAGCAGTTGCAGGATAAATCTTACCAGGATATTGGATCAAAGCCTGCAGGCCCCCGAGCTTATCAAACATGGCAATCTTTAAGATAGGCCCGAATGCTGCAAAAACCTAACCACCACCCATAAATAGAAACAAAATGAGCAATAAATATTTAGAAAGCTGTTTTGTTGTAGAACTTACAAAAATCATCCTTTATTTTTGAATAGTGTTTACCGTATGCAAGACATCTAAGGTAACTGCATATTGCATGTTCTCAATAGAAGCAAGAAGAACATTGCTCTCAGGTTCTAGTTTCTCTCCATCTAAACCCACGATGAACTGTAATCGAAACAACAAAGGGATGTGAACAAAACTGCAAATCTAGAGTAATGACTCTCACACAACAAAGAAACTGATCAATGACATCAAATATAGACACCACAAAAGTGAAGAGACATTATAGATAGATGGTAAACGATGAAAAGTGAATCTAAATTATGTAAAATATTTAGCCATATAGTCGCATGCCACATAGCTATCCATATTCAACCCCTTACTTGAGTGTTAACATCCATAGCTGAAGGAGCAACAGGAAGATTAGGATTGGTGTAGTCCCTAAAGCAAATTAAGAGTAAGATGGAGAGTGGAGACAATGGGGAAAAAAAGAATTAACAGATATATTAGTTCAAAAAAATAGGCAAAAACACTAACAAAACAGAATGACATGATTATGGTCTCTGTTAATTGTTACAACAACAAGCAAGTCCAAAATGTGAGTAATCGAATACAAGGTTACCTGCTACGATGACTCTGAAACTTTACAGTCAAATCAGTGTGTGCAGAATATGTAATTTTAAGTGAACATGGTCCGAGATCTGGAATTAAATAGCTGTAATACAAAGCAAAAAAAGGTAACATGAGAAGATTAATGTGCAAATGGTATATCAGCCTTTAAGCTCACACGGCAGAAGATTTATGTGCAAATGCAAAATCATACTTTCGTTGTCCCAAAATTAAGTTCAGATTATGACATTTTTGTTAAAGTTTATAAAATTTGATCATGATTTTCATTATAAATACATTGAGTAATGATGGGAACTCAACATTATTAGATTCATTTTGAAACGTAGTTTTAGAAAACCATTAGTTTATAATATTTATTTATATATATAATTATAAATATCAATGGTCACTCCAAAAAATTATGTCAATGGTCAAGGTGTTGCATTAAAAACCTTGAAAGACAAAATGGAACTTAGTTTTGGGAATATACCTTACTAATTTGAAAAGTATAATAACAAAAATAGGTTTGTCATTTGAATTTAAGACATCAAATATCCCAGATATAAATCATAATGTGCTGCATTTATGGAGCATGTCTCAGCAAGGACCTCTTCCAACCCAAATGACTAAGACATGAGTCCTTTTATGTCAACTGTCGTAAGCTAAGTTCAAATTGGGGTGAATCCGGTGATTGTTTGTCGACCAGCTCACTTGAAAATGAAAAGAAAATTAGATTGGGCAGTTCTGAAAAAACATAAATGAGAGATGAAATGGGTTGAGGAGCATGCATATCAGCATATGTACCCCTCATGTTGATTCTTAAAAAGGCTCTTGAAAGTTGTCCACTCCCAATGAAATTGCAGCACGTCTACAGATAATGATTCATAACAGTTGGGTTACATTCCAAACTGAAATATAAATCCAAACATCACCTTGGAATGCTTCTTCCATCAAGAGCGTCCTTTGCAGAAGTAGCAGTTACTGCATCAGAGAATTGCACCAAAGCCTGAGGAAAAATTTGCAAGCAATTAAACTTTGGTACCTTAAAAGCAGGGGAAGACATACAAACTAAGATGGGTTATCCTAAATATGCACACCTGAAATCCAGCTGTCTTTTCAAATGTAGTGATTTTATGGACAAACCCAAAAGCTGAAAACACCTGAACAATATAAAGCTTTAAGAAAATTACATGTAGAAGTGAGAATGAAGACATAACGACCATGGTCTTTCTGAAGAAAATACATGCAAAGAAGTTTTATACTACCTGAATGCTAGTTCAAGGATTACATAACAGGCCACATAATTGTGCATGATACACATAGAGCAAAGATACTAATTGAAGAAATACTGTGTTTCTCCCTTTGTGCGTGAGAAAGATTTTTCTGCAATGTTTTTGCCTTTTCTAATATAGGAAGAGCCAAGTGATTTGGGTCATGTCAACTGGGTAAAAAAGAAGAAAAAGAATAGAGGAATTCGACATCTAATGCCTTTGGCAAAAAGGCACCAAAGGCACATGCACATGCATAAAGAAAGTATTTGGCTAAAAAATACTAAAATTTGCACCAGATAGTAAGAATACATCTTACGAAAATGATAATTTGGCTCTACTTAGTTTCACTTATGCATTTGGTTGCTTTATGTTACTGCAGGGGATATCAGCACCCACCGACCCAACACCAAATGTGTTATAAAAGAAGTTAAGTTTCCACATTCTAAGAAAGTCAGGAATTAGGATAAGTAGGTGAGGTTAAGAACGGAAGGAGGAGTCAGTGGTAAGCAAGAGAGAAAGGAGACAAACACACATGTTCTCTCTCTCGATGCAATATGCTGCCATTGAAGTTTTCCTTGACATGGGGCCTGCTAATCCATTTGCATTTATGTCAAAAGTTGCTAAAGGAAACATTACATGCTACAGTATAAGCAGCAGTTTATTGAGATGATTTGTTGTACTAATAAAATCATTTTACTTCAGACCATGAGCATACTACAAAGAAAATACATAGCTAATTACCAAGTGCAAAACATCAATGCTAACAAGCCGAGCATCATTTCCTTCAATTGTTGCCAACAGTACATTTCCAGCAACATCTGCGGTAGTCTTATTGTTCACTATTTCTTGTCTATTTGAATATTGTAAGTAAACTTGTTTCCCTCGCACTTGAGCAGGTTCTGATGAAGAAGCATAATATGATATCATTGAAATAGCTTGGTTTAGTTCAGCCTACAACATCAAGATAAGCATACATGAATACCATTATACCAATATATACAAAAAAACATATGTGTAGAAGGAAAGGAAATCTCACAAATTCGATGAAGGCTTGGTTTCTATTTGCCCCCACATTGCACTTTGTGTTGACAACTTTGCCGAATGGCTTCCCCAGTTCTATAAGTTCCTCCTCTGAACACTCCCACGGTAAATTTCTTAAATGGAGAACCTTCGATGGTGGTTGTGTGTAACGGAACTGAGGCTGGCTGGACACTGATGACATTTCTGTGCTGCAAACCCAACCTATATAAACCAGAAAAGGTGAAATATATATTCATCTCCTTCTGGTAAGCATTATGTAACTCGATGCCATCAATCTATTCAATATTGCAATTTGCTTTGCAAATTTTCAAAGTAAACTCTATGGTAAAGAAACATACATCCATGCTGATTGCTAAATGTGTATCAGTCACATATTTATAATTTGCTTCAACTTATAACCTTGTGTGGTTTCCAATAAAACTTACAATTTGAAGTGGAACTTTTGCAGAGAATCAAGTTATGTAAGGTGCCAGGCGGGCAGTGGAGGGCTCTAGCGCATAGGCTGACGCTAGACACTTCCTTAAAATAGGCCGCGTGTATGTGTGTGTGTGTGTGTGTGTGTGTGTGTGTGTATATATATGTTGGTTCCGGTGAGAATGCAATCTTAGAAGAGAAATGAGAATGAATCTGGTGCTTTAGATTGTGAGATCTAAGGGTCAGGATTGCATCAAAATTAGGTGCACCAAAATGGTTTGAATGCATCATGTAGAAATGCACCAAAATCCTTTAAAAATGCACTATCTCAAAATCTGAGCGCAGGATGCATTCTGAGCCGCACGATGCATCAGATCCAACGGCTAGATTTTATTCTCATTTCTCTCCACAAGGGGCATTCTCACGGGAACCGGCCCCTATATATATATATATATATATATATATATATATATATATATATATATATATATATATATATATATATATATATATATGAGTATATATATATAGACACACACACACACATACATACATACATATATACGGTTTTTTAGACTAAAAAATTTAAAATTTGCAAGCATCTAAAATAATGTCAATGAATATTGATATTAAAAAATTATTTATTATATAAAGAAGTGCATTTCAATTAGTGTGTGTATGTGATCATAAATTAAATGCTGCAAAAAAGCCAGTTACGTAACTGATTATAATTAATATATGCATATTATAAACTTATTATTGTATAATAAAAAAATGTTTAAGTAAAGAAAACTTCATTCAAGCTAAAATAAAATTTTATGAACATCATTTGTGCATCAGGGACACATTGTGCATTGGGCTGCTCTTTTTAAGCCAAAAATAATAATTACACATTAAAGTAGGCGATCCAAGGTGCCCATGCCGATTTTTGAAACACTTACACGAAAACCGATGGGTTTAGCATGGAGATGACTGCTTAACTCACTCTTTAGAACAATGCGGAGTACTACACACAGAAAAACTAAAAGTAGACCAATAATAGCTAATTTGTGGTTCACATTTCAAAATAAAAAAAAATTAAAACTTTTCAAACCCCAAGCAAATAATGAAGAGGTGAAAACAGCTTGTGCTTTCACTTATAAATTGAGCTAAAAATTTTCACTTTCTTTGCACCAGCAATCCAACATCCTAAACAACTAAAACAAAGGCATTTTAATGAATTGGATGCTCCTAATTTTTTTCAAAGAGGAACTGATAAAAACAGGAATTCAATACACACGAGCCAAATCAGTCTGTTATAAATAAACAAATATATCCCGTCTGTTATAAAAATATGAGGTCTAGAAGAAGATCGGTAAAGCGTTCAAAATCGAAAATTTGAGGATCGATCTTAAAATTCATTAATAATGCAAGCATATTTCCTTTCATTTCAGGATAATTGAAACAGGACGTAATTTTCGTTCGAGAAAATTTCACAAGTTATGAAGCTGAAGCAGAAAAGAGTGAAGATGGAGCGTAGAAGATGGAGTACCTGGATGAACGGCGAACTATCGGATCGGAGAGGATGCCGGAAACTCGAAGGAAATCTTGTTGAATTCGGGGCTGCTTCTCGATGTGGAAACAATCTAGAGTTGGCTTTAGGACCCGACCTGAGATGCTCAAATAAAAATTTTACTCCAATAAATAAATCTTTTTAGGAAAAATTCAAAGAAATAATCTTTTTAGGAGTATGATTTTTTATGAAAAATATTTTCAGATTTTGACAATTAACATCATTGTTCTCAATTTTATTATTTTTTCAGGTTGTTACTTTCACTTGTCCGATGAGCTCCTACATGAAAAAAAAATTGACTTGTATTTTTGAATACTTTTTTTCCATTTTAATTAGTCTTTTTTCATACACACTATGTTTGTATTTTTATTCCTCTCCTATTGCATTTTCCATCCCCTTCAAAATCTTATTTTTTTCATATGACTTCCCCCATAAATTTAATATGTTTATTAGCACTCCATCTATTCAATATTAATAATTTGGTTTGATTCGTCCTGGAGGTTAATAAAATAAAATTATGTAATTGAAAATAATGTAAATGGAGTAATTGTCTATACCAGAAATATAGTTAAATAAAATATAGTTTTTAAAATAATTAAAAGACTTAGGACTCTCATTTTTAATAAATTTAAAATGAAAAAAGAATACTAAAAAAACTAGTCCGTTTTTTTTCACATAGAAGCTGATCGGGCATGTGGAGAGTAATAGCGTGAAAAATATAAGAAAGTTGGGAGCAAAAGTGTTAATTATAAAATCTAGGAGTATTTTCATAAAAGTTATATTTTTGGGAGTATTTGTGTGAATTTTTCAATCTTTTTAAATAAAAAATAGAATCTTTATGTTTAAAAATTACATACTCCATAAAATCTTTATAAAATAAAGTATATTGTCAATTACTTCAACAATAGCAAAAAAAGTATATTGTCAACTTTTATAGCAATAGACAATGTCGCTAAAATCTTTTCTAAATACATAAATCTTATTACGTTGTATTTTTTTAACATTAATAGTTCTATTATAATGTAATATTTGTTTTATAGAATTTTAAATTTAAAATGTCATTTTTATTTTTAATTTTATATCAATATTGAAAAATTTTTAATTAAGAATAAATTTGATCAAACACTATAAACTACTTCCTCCGTTTCACAACGATTTACATTCCTAAAGTGTAATCATTTACGGAATTAGAGTATAAAATTAAATTTATACAAGTATTGATACAAATTCAAAAAATAAAATTTATATATTTTAAAATTATGTCAAAGCTTTTAAAACTCAAAATGAAAATTATATTTTTTTAACAAATATTTAATAGAACTTCAACACTTATGAACAGATAATACTCTATAATAGAGTGAGTAATACTCAAAAAAATTTAAACGAAGCAAACATTTAACTTGTGAATAATGTAAAAGCACAAATTCTATTCGACAAAGTATAAACCACATTTTTTTTCTTTAATACTCTCTCCGTTCCAAAAACTTTTTCCTCTTTTTTTTCTTGTCCTACAAACTATTTCCATATTCTATTAAAAAATATGGAGTACTCCTTAAAGTAACTTTTACCCCTACCAATTCTTAACATAACATATCACATCATATCTTTTTACTAATAAACTATCCATCACCTCCTACTTTTATTTATCACATCAAGGATATTTTTAGAAAGTTAACATAAAAATCTCTCCCTTAAAGATGACAAAAAAAGTAAAGTTTACATTTTTATCTATACAAAAAGCCAACTAGTTGAATAGTTTCAAAGTAAATGCATCACATAAGACAATAATTATCCAAAAAAGTGCGTAATAATGAATGGTGAAAATTCACAAAACAAAGAAAGCAGCGCCAATTATAAGTGTCACAATGTGCTACATTTTTTGAACTAAAGACATGAAATCTCCCACATATTAATCAATCACAATGTGTTGCATCAAGGACCTCTTCCACAACCCATTACCAAAAAATTAACACTATTCTCAATACCCAGAAATCCACAAAAGTGTCAACCAGACCAACCGACGGTCTTGTTGCTCATGATACCCAAACTCGGCGCCTCCCGCTCAACTTGAGGCGGAGGCCTAAACTCCCTCGGCTTGGCGGGGTCCACAAAAATGACCCAACCGTCCAAGTACTTAGCATTCAGTCCTTCCCGAGCTTTTTGAGCCTCTTCAATCGTTTCGTAGGTAACAAACCCAAACCCCTTGGACCTCCCGGTAGCTCTATCTGTAACAACTTTAGCCTCAACGAGATTCCCAAATGGCTCGAATGCTTTCCTTAGGCCTTCGTCTGAAGTGTGTCTAGCAAGACCACTGATGAAGAGCTTAGAGGTAGTCAGGGTTGAACAGAGTCGAACCGAAGCAAGTTGAGATACATGGTTTGGTGAATGTGCCAAACATCCCCCTAATATACCGCGCAAAGCTGAGGACAGTGCCATTTTCTAGGATGCCGGAGAAACCTGATATATATTGAAAAAACACAACTTTCTTTAAGTAATACGGAGTACATAATATTTCGTCCACTTTCCTGTTTTTGTGCATCTAGAATTAGTTGTACTTCCCACATTTACTAAACACATTATGATATACCAAGTATGGAGTATTCTAAAATACCCTCGTACCCTTTGGATGACATATTAATGTTGGGTTATTCGGTGAAGGCTTTAGAGCTTTGGGCTTTAAGCCCGGTCGGTTAAAGGGAAGAAACATGGGGGGCCGGTTTCAGTTATTAATTAAAGGGCCCATTAGTTGTTTCTTGTTTAGCAAGTTGTTAACCCTAGTTTATATCTTATAAATACCCAATCATGTAACTATAATCTGTGAGCACCTAATAAAAGATAAACCCTAGTTGCAACCCGTGGAGTAGGTTACTGACCGAACCACGTTAAATCTCGTGTTCTTATTTTCTGCTATTTGTGTGTGTGTTTGTTCGCTTCCGCTTGACCGCCTCTGATCTCTGATTCCTAACAAGTGGTATCAGAGCCTTGGTTCGGTTAAACACACGGTTACACAGGATCAATCGCAGGAAGAAGGCTGTTCAAGATTGTTTTTGCTGCTGTTTTGCTGCCGCGGTTAAGGGGCTGGTTCGGATCTGATCAGAGGCTGGTTCGGATCTGGTCAGGGGCTGTTTGGTCGGTTTTAGGTGAACTTGGCGATTAGGGTTTCTGGTACTCGTTGGTTCGGGTTCTTTGTTTTAGGGTTTGTATTCTTTTGAAGGTTGCTTGGTTTCAGGCCGTTATTCCTTGATTTTTTCTCTGGTTTTTTTTTCTCTCGTTTTGCAATGACTGAGGACGGGAGGGTTCGAATCGAGAAGTTCAACGGTACTGATTTTGCATGGTGGAAAATGCAAATAGATGCGTTGCTTGGTGAGTGCGATTTGGACATGGTACTGGAAGAGAAACCGGATGGAATGGATAAGGCTGCTGAAGCAATTTGGGACTCAAAGGACAAAAAGGCAAGAGGTAAAATTACACTAGCTTTGATGAGGAGTGTGGCGTTTAATATCATGAAGGAAACAACTGCTCGTGGTATGTTAACAGCTCTGTCAAATATGTATGAGAAACCGTCGGCCGGTAATAGAGTGTTCTTGATGAGGGAATTGTTCATGATGAGAATGAACGAGGGCAGCCCAGTTGCTGATCACATTAATGAGGTCAATTCGATCTTGTCGAGGTTGTCATCAGTAGGCATGAAGTTCGATGATGACACTCAGGCTGTGATTCTGTTATCTTCCTTGCCTGATAGTTGGTCGGGATTTGTGACAACGGTTACTGAAACTGCTGGAACAGGAAACTTGAAGTTTGATCGGATACGGGATAGTGTTTTGGGTGAAGACATTCGTCGGAGGAACGCTAGTAGAGGATCTACTTCTGGGTTACTCAGTGTTAGCAGGGGAAGAGGTAATAACAGAAACAGTGGGAGTCGTGGGAAGAGCTCGTCTAAGGCTGGAAAGAATGTGGTGTGCTCTGCAAAGAAGTTGGGCATGTCAAGAGGCAATGCCCAAACAGGAAAAACGAAATTAGCGCAGTTGTTGGGAATGCATCTGATGATGATAGTGATGCATTGATACTCAGCATGGAAAGCTATGTTGACTCTTGGGTCATGGATTCTGGTGCTTCGTTTCACGCCATGCACAGCGGTGAGGCGATGGTGAATCTCAAAAAGGGAGACTTTGGAAAGGTAAAGTTGGATAACGGGAAAATCCTTAAAGTGACAGGCATGGGAGATATTGATCTAAAAACTTCATTTGGAACTACTTGGAGCTTACAAAATGTCAGGGTGATTCCAAGACTGAAGACAAAGTTGATCTCAGTCGGACAATTGGATGAACAGGGACTAGACGTCAAGTTTGGTGGTGGAAAATGGAAGGTGATCAAAGGAAATTTG